AATTTAACTGACAAATCAGGCACACAACTCCCCAAAGCCATCCCCATCCCCTACCAACAGAGCCACAGAACCCATTTCTTTCAGTGACAACTTTACTCCAATGATATGCAGAAAGGGCCAGTTCACCACAAACTGAGAACTCTCTACTTTTACTACCTTAGAAAATCCCAGAGGGAGTTATTAATTCAATGCAAAAGGAAGTGGAATCCACTTGTTAAGTGAATGGCCAAGAATTAACTTGAAAGTTCTATTTTTTAAGGTAGCATCTAGGCATATATATAGATTCACTGCTTTGAAAAAGTACAAAAGGCTAAATTTTTACCTAATAGCCCATTATGTTTGATTCAAAAAGGACTCAAGACATAACACTGTTAAAAACATTTATTTTGGTACAGTCTATGATAAATAAGTCAGGAGAGGTTCCACTCTGCCACAGATTCATCTGAGAAGAGCCCTGTGCCATTCAACTGGTGAATGTCTGAACGACGTCCCATCTCTTATCCCAGCCAGAGCGCACACCTTCCATGTTGTTCCTGTCCATTGATTGCTTCCAAATCCAGATGACCTTTATCCCCAAAGTAAGCTAAAATGTTTGTGAAGAGGAGAAATAAATTAAACCCCAAAGTAAAAACTTAAACATAGTTTAAGAACTGGAAGATTTTATACATTTACGTTTGTGTTTACTCATCAAATTCAGAGATACTATAAGACAAGGATCAATCTCATTGAGCAAAAAATTTAAGATATATACATTTAAAGAAATACAGGTTTGTTACTTTTGAGTGTGTTTCCCTACTGTAAACAAAAAGGGAAATATAAGTTGAGGTCTGTCAAAAGATAAATTAATGATTTTCATTAACATGAAGGACTGATGAACCCACAATATAAAACCATATCATTATTAGATACCACATAGTAAAGCTGAAAATAATGTTTATTGAATGCTTTCTATGGGTCAGTACCGTGTAGAAACTTCCCAACTCCCAATTATGACTTTTATTTTAAATACATGGAAGAAACCAAGGCTTTGAGATGGTTACCCATCTTAAGTGGCAGAGTGATATGACCCAGGTGCCCCTCCTCTTTTTTTTAAGTAGGGTCCACGCCCAGTGTGGAGCCCAGTGTGGGGCTTGAACTCATGACCCTGAGATGAGATCAGGAGTCGGATGCTGAACTGACTGAGACACCCAGGCGGCCCCTGACCCAGGTGCTCTTAACCATTACAACACACACATCCCAGGAGCAATTATTAGTCTTCATTTCAGCCTCAACTCTTACCTCAAACATTCCCAGCCACTAACTAGCCCAAATTCCTAAACCATTTCCTGACTAAGCAACAGGATTCTGGAGGAAGACAAGAGGTATTTTATTTCTAAGTCTTGCTGATTAAAAATGTGGTTTCTAGTAATATGTCACATAAAATAAAACTGCATTACCAAATGGTAACTTGAACATTCTCTGAATTTTTTTTTTAAAAGTACTTGTCTTTGCCTGGGAAAAAGCCCAGCATCCATTTCCAATTTTCAAAAGTGTTTTAAAATTTCCCATTAAATGCCAAGTATTTTTGCATAGAGTTAAGATATAAAAATGAACTACTCATCTATTAAGGTCTCCTCAGTGGTAATGAGCATCCAAAATAAAGAGAAAAGAAGATCTTCCTTGGCTTTACACAGACAATATGAACAAGTATTCTTAGTTAACCTCAGTATTCATATATATATATTTTTTTAAGATTTTATTTATTTGACTGAGAGAGACACAGCGAGAGAGGGAACACAAGCAGGGGGAGTGGGAGAGGGAGAAGCAGGCTTCCCGTGGAGCAGGGAGCCCGATGCGGGGCTCGATCCCAGGACTCTGGAATCATGACCTGAACCAAAGGCAGACACTTAACGACTGAGCCACCCATGCGCCCCATCAGTGTTCATGTATTTTGCCTAAATAATGTTTTACTAATTACTGCTCCATGTTCATTCAAGTACTGCATTTTGTATATGGACTGATATCAACCAACATTTGCTGACCACGGATAATGCACTATCTGGGTGAAAGAGGACACTAAGACCAATATGGTCCTAATCCCCAGGAACCCAACAACTTAGCAAGGGAAGCAGACCAGTAAATCATGAACTATATTTAGATAAGTATTATTCTTCCCTAAATTGCAAATACCCCTGGAAGGAAACCAGAAGATGCCCCTAATGACAGAAAAGAATGAACGAGCACCAGAGAGGAGAGCAGCACTAAGAAGACATATTGTGAAGAAATGAAAAAGCAGGGGGTGGCTGCTCCATCCAGACTGCAAAGTTGAAGGGTCAACTCTTGGGATAACTGAAGCCAAAAAGAAGTACAATAGAAGGGCACATTCTATTCCCACCTCTGGATCCTGGATCACCTGGGGCACAAAAAATGCTATTTCCCACCTTGCAGATCCAGTCTAAAAGTCCTACCACAAGATGCAGTGCTGTATTAATTCCTGTCCAAAAAAGTCAGAGAGTCATTTAATTAATTCAACTCTTGTTGGCAGCTACTTTAGGTGCTTACAGGATACAACGTAATGTAAATAAGCAACAAGCACAATATAAGGCAGAGAATGATGCACACAAATGAGTATTATGGGAACACAAAAACTAGAGAGGTTTCAGCTAGGAGAAGGGGGAAAAGATTTAAGGAAGGGATGACATTTGAGATTGGGCTTTTCTAGACATAGGTTTTCATCAAGTGGGAACAAGGGAAAGAGCATTCCAGGCTAAGGGAGCACGAGCACTGGGACAAAGACACGAAAATATACAGTTTGTTCTGGGATTAGCATGCAGTAGCTTGTAGCTGGAGCAAGTTCTCACAGGAGAAAGAAGTGAGGTGAAGGACACCTGGGTGGCTCAGTCGTTAAGCATCTGCCTTCGGCTCAGGTCATGATCTCAGGGTCCTGGGATCGAGCCCCACATCGGGCTCCCTGCTCCACGGAGAGCCTGCTTCTCCCTCTCCCACTCCCCCTGCTTGTGTTCCCTCTCTCGCTGTGTCTCTGTCAAATAAATAAATAAAATCTTAAAAAAAAAAAAAAAGTGAGGTGAAGATGACACAGAGATTAAAAATTACTATTGACAGTTTACTGCTCACATATTACTTGCCAAGTACTCATTATACTTAATATACGATACTCTTACCCAATCCTCATAAAAACTTTATGAAGTAGATATTATACCCAACTTATAAAAGAAACACTTCACTCTAGAAAGGCTAATGGCCTTTTGGGAAAAGGTATTTGATGATAATTTCCAGTACTTGGAAAATGTTCACATTGCTTGACCAGGTAGTCCCTTCTCTGATGTTTTCTAAAGATTTCCCTATGAAAATAACTGCTCTGAGGTCAATCAGCTAGTAAATAGCAGATACATTACCTCAAGTCCCCATTTTACAATTCAAAAGGGAGAGGCTAAGAAAAAAGGAACTTACTAGACATCTCTGAAAGCAGTTTTAAGAAGCCGCATCATAAATGGTTAAAGGGAGAGGAAAGTAAAGAAAGAAGCAGTGAGTGAAGACCACTTACTGAAGAACTTGATCAGGGAAAAAAAAGTAACTTCAGAAATGGACAAATTGGGGGACAACGTGGCTGGCTCAGTCAGTAGTGTGCGACTCTTGATCTTGGGGTTGTAAGCTCAAGCCCAGATTGGGTGTAGATACTACTTAAAAATAGACAAATTGAGGGCACATACAGTGGAAACTTATGAGAAGAAAAACCCCTTCCTCTCAGAAAGGAGAGGCCAGTAAGGCAGAGGGGGTGAAGGAAATTCCTATTAGATGGCACTGTGCTAAGAAAAGAGGTAAGATTATCTGGGGGAGCCCACATGACCACTGGAAAGAGTGTAGGCTTTGGAGACAGATATATTCCACCATTCTACCGACTTCGTGACCTGCTCGGAAGTACTGAAGTAACAATTAGAGATACTGTATATAAAGCACCTAAAACAGTGGCTAACCCATCGCAGGTAACTGTTATAGATACTACTATTACTTTCTGCCCATTCTAGGAAAAAAGTGGCTCAGAGTTAGGATTTGAAGAAACAGAAAACCTAGAATAGCCAGTGCAAAGTCTATTAGGGCAATCCACAAGAAAGGTCTGTAAGACAGAGGATCAAGATGAAATCACATAGAACCTGTGCAAGTCCTGGTCATCATCATGCCACAAGTATCAGCACTTCCTAAAGAGCAAACTTACCTGTTCAGATTCAGCCTTTATATATATGTATATGCACACAAGTACACATACAGCTTTCACAAGTATACATATATACGTACACTTGCGAGTATATGAATATGTATAGTGTGTACGAGTGTGAGTGTGAGAGTGTGTGTGTGTGTGTGTGTGTGAAGTTTTCAGAAGTACTTATCTAACACTGGCAAGACTGCTTCTGAGAAAGAAATTTGACAATGCACTTTCAGGGTCATAAATGTTCATACACTTTGACTTATTACTCCCATGAGAATTTATCGTAAGGAAATAAATCAAAACCTACAAAATCCATCTAAAAATGTTCACTATACTGTTATGTAAACTACTGAAAAACCTAAGTAATCAACAAGTTAAAAATATATGGGATATCAACTGTAATTTTAGTGAAGAAAACAAAATCCTACATGTTCTTGTTAAAATGATCTAAAAGGCTCTATTTATCTGAATGAAGATAAAACAAATATGGGTAATTAAAAAGAGTCCACTCACCTTTCAAAGTGGTAGGATGATAAATTTGTTGTTTTTCTTGTAAATATGTTTCATTATGATTAACACGGTACAGTAAATGCAAATTAGGAAGGGGAGAGAAAGCAATTACCTGATAACACAAGCTAGACTGGTCTGCAAACTGCTGCAGTTTCCAACAGCCCAAAACCATACTGACTAGTACAATTCCATTACAATGCCTACCACTAGGACTCTTCTGCTTCCCAGGGATTCAGCACTAATAGATGAACATTTGCCCTGAAATATTTATTTGTAAGAGCAATACCTCAAAACAGTTGGTTCAGGCATTCCAGGATCTGCACCCCTCTTGAACCCTGGGGGAGAAGGGGAAGGAGGAGAAAGAGAATTAACAGTAATTAAAACCCTAGCAGACAAAACATTTATCAAGACTTTCTTTTCTTTTCAAATCAACCTAGGGTAGCTAAAATCATCTACTAGCACCATCTAAATTTACCTGTGTGCTAAGATCAGTCTTGAATTTTAACCAGAGTATGAGATTAGTATGAATCCAGGATTCATCAGCAGGGAGGACAAATAACCTTATTATATACACAATTAGAACTATAGCCCTTAGCATGTACTTTCACTCTTAGTTATTACCCAGAAAAAAAGATGACACAACTACTAAATCATACTGGATAAAAGACTACAAAGAGCAAAAAGATTTTTTTAAAAACTACATTTTTAAAAAACAATTAAGGATATCTTATTTTATCCCCTACAAACCTCTTTGTATAAAGCAATCAAAGATTGGAAGAAAAAAAGAGTGGAAAAAAAACAAGTTATTGTTTAACAACCTAATTAAGTCAACACTTTTATTACAAGTATGATTAAATAAGCCTTTTACCATTTAAAATATATTTATTAACTAACTGGATAACATATATGCTAATTTGCTGATTGATTAAAATTAGTTAGCATCAAGAACTGTGGGGGTAGGAAATTTTACTCCATTTTCAAGACAACAAAGTAGGCTGCCAGTTTCACAGATGCTGGTAGAAGACACAAGATCCTGAGTCAGAAACAAAGGAGAGTTTATTACTCCCAGCAGTTAACTACAGTCAGAATGTCATCATTTTTAGATGAACCCTGAGTTTAGAGAACCAGTCTTTTTTAATGGGCAGTGAGCAGTCTCCCCTTTCCTCTAAAAGGAAATACTATTTTCCAAAGCTGTTCACTCCACAAACATCCTTAAAAAGATAATATGGAACAAAGGGTGGTCAGAATCTTTGCTCACAAGATTCGCAGAAATTCAAGACACCATGGAGAATGGTCTTCCAAGAGGTGATTCAGTAAAATCTTGTGTTAATCAATGTCCAAACAGATTTTTTTATCATGTCACCATCTGTTCTACTTTGTACCACTATATTCCCACATACTCCCTGAAGCCCTAAACATTATGTATGAACCTAAATTATACAAGAAATTCAATCCGGTTGTAGGTTTTTGTGAGAGCTGAGGTGGAGAAGAAAAAAAAACTACCTGGGAAGTAGGTTAGACACAAAATTAAATTTCTAGAACGTGAAAAGAAATAGACAATTATTAACAAGGAAGAAGTACTAAAAAGCTAGCTCTAACATTACTCTCAACCCGAGTTGGAAGCTAGGGTGGAAAATCACCATAATGGTATTCCTAAGAAAGAGAATACAGCGGTGTGCACAAAAAGAAAAATAAACTCTAAGGGGCGGGGGGGGAACATTCTCTTCAAACCAAAGCCCTTGATACACAGAATGTAGCAACCAGCTACACCTTTCTGCTTTCTGGCTGTAGAAAAGGAATCACAAAAAGGGAGAAGGAGGGAAAGGTAGATGTAAAGAATTATAGAGCAGCAAAAAAACCAGAGGGACCAAGAAGGCAAGAGTAGGTTAAAAAAAGGACCTCCCCCCTTCCCCCACACACAACGGAAAAAGGAGGCATAAAGAAGGGGAAGGATCAAAGTCCCCATATCTTTCTTGGCTAAAAAGAGAGCTAGATCTAGGGTTTGACTAGCTAAATTGGGCCCTTCTACCATGATGTGAAAGCTTGAGGAGGGGAGAGGCAGAAGGGGCAACATAGCCTGTAAGAGCAGGCTATCATAATTACGTGTTCTAATCCTGGACACCTACACAAAGTTGCTAAGATCTAGGAGAATAATGCTTTTTTAAAAAAAACATTTGACATAGATAGGAAAAAGATCTTTCTAAGCCCTTATACTGAAGTAACCCCAGATTACCAACTGGCTTGCATTTCGTGGGGAAATCGGAGCCACAGCGACCTGGAAAACATCCAGCCAAATCAAAGGCTCTGTCAAGACTAAGAGTGACTGTACTTTATCTTGAACGATGCATGACACCTAAAATAAATAGGAAGCACCACCTTGTTAAAACCAAAGGGTTTTAAAAGTGTGAAATTGAGTTTTAGAAAATTTCAAGCTTTATGCCCAACTGACAGAGCTGGGGCTTTTTCCTTTCCTCTGTACACCTGAAACTAACATTGTGTGTCAACTATGCTTCAATTTAAAAAAAAATTTAAAAGAAAAAAACTACTCAAAGCAAGAAAGAGGATAAAGTCCCAATGTGCAGCCTTACGTGAAAATATTTGCCTGGGCACTTAAAATCTTTGCGGTAGGGCATGGCATAGTGCTTCGGAGTATGGGCCTTGATGTCCCATTACTTGAATTCAAAGCTCCCCACTTAACAGCTGTGTAGCCCTCAGCAAGGAACGAAATTTCTCTGTGACTCGATGTCCTCACCTATAAAATGGGATCTATAACAAAAATCATCCAAACCCTTCATTGTACAGTTGAGAAGCAGAGAAATCCAACAACTAATGTCATAATCATACTTCAAGGCAATGGCATACTCACGAGGCCTACAGGCCTCTTTCCACTTAGGACCACCTGAAGAGGTGAGGACAAATATCCCCGAAAACCCACCTAGTGACAGAGTGAATGAGTCGCTTTCAAATACATCAGGTCATCTAACTCTCCCAACAATTCTCAAAGGCAGGTCACCTCCATTTTACAGATGGAAAAACAGAATGGGAGGGATTACGTGACTTGTTAAAGACCACAAGTAACAGCAGAGACCAAGAACTCGAACTCAGGTTAGACCGACCCCACTGACTAGACTACACGAAAGGACGTGCACCGCGTGGTCGGGTCTCGCTCTCCCGCCTAGAAAGCCAAAAATGGAGACAAGGCCTCCGCACACCCTTCCCTCCCGGCTCCTCCCAGGTTCTTCTCCTACTGACCCAGGTAAATCACGAGTGGAATAAAGCCCCAGCGGATAGCAAACTGGCCGCCCTTAAAAAGCTGCTGCAACCTCTGCTTGGCCTCTTTGCTCAGCTTCACCATGGCGACGGCCCCGGCGGCTTAGCGAGGACTCTCAATACCAGCTGCAGCGTAGGGAATCCGAAAAAGAAAGGAGATGCGCACGCGCCGAACACGGCATTTACGGCAGGAGTCGTGAGCGTCGCCAGCAGAGGTCGTAATTCACCGCCAGTCCTGACCTGCCTCTCCCCTCTACGGCGCCACCTGCGGACGGCGCGTGCGTGTCAGGCTCCCCCTGCTCAGAGTCTCATCTTTCCTTTCGTTTTAGGAATCCCGTTTTTGATCACTGTGGGATACTGAAGGCAGTGCGCTTGAGCTTTCTTCAGCCTGAAACGCCCTTTCTCCTCCCACAGTCTTACCCGTTTTTTTAAAGTGCACCTCCAAGTGTTCCTCGCCTGACACAGGAGGAACATTAAATTCCGTCTTCTAGTCCTAACTCTTAAACTGACTTGCTCTGTAGTCTTGGACAAGTTACTTAACCTCCCTCAGTATCAGTTGGTTTCTTCAAGCGAAGGCTGAACTACAAGGGAGATTATGAACTAGTGTCCAGTAGGGCTCCTATCATTTTCTTTGACTCCCGCGGTGTTCGGTTGTTTTTCTTATTTGTTTTGTTTTAACATTATAAATTACTTGCCAACATTTTAAAGTTTGGAAAATTACACTTCGAAATCTGTACTTTTACAAAGAAGCTGGTGGATCCCATTGCAACAATCAACAGGAGTAAGTGGGAAATGACACACCTGTTCGCCGATTTGTCCTCATTGCTTTAGAATTGCAGTTCTCACCCCTGGCTTCACGTTACACTCATCTGAGGAGATTTAAAGACATACGAGGGCTGGGGACATACTCCTAGAAATTCTGATTACTTACGGGTAGGACCTGGCCATTGGGTTGCCATTGAAGTTTCCCAGGTGATTCTAATGTGTAACCAGCATTCCCAACTTTTGATTCACTAACTGCCTGACCACTGTTGTTATTTGAGCTTTTGATCCTAGCTAGGACTTCTTGATTTCTAAGGCTGTAAGAGATTTCTGAGGCCTTGTCCCTGAAGGTTTTCCTGGATTATCCCCAAGATACATTATAACATTTTCTGTCAAACTCGGAAGGTGCCCAGTGGCACCTGAAATTTCCCCTGGCTTTATGGCTATTCCTGTACGTGGCTCATCTTCATGATAATAACCAGTGACTGCTATATCTGTAAAATGAGAACTAATATATATATATATACACATCTACATATACATTTTACAGATAAGGAAACTGTTTCTAATCTTTTTATCCAAATGCCTGATACATAGTAAGGATACATTTCTGTCAGTTGAGCTGAATAAAACCAAAGTCATTTGCCTTCATCAAACATACATTGAGTGTTACTGTATGCTAGGAACTAGAGATAGAAGATTGTCCTTACGAATTTCATGTTTGAGTGGAAAAGACAAAAGTAAATAGATGATTCCAATGCAATGTGAATGTGCTAAGCTCCATAATAAAGTTATACACAACATATGATGGGAAGGCAAATGAATTTTAGGAGGGGAGAACTAACACTGTGAGCTGAGATGATCAGAAAAAACTTCATAGAGAGCATGGAACTTAGCAGGCCTTGATGAGTGTTTACAGGTACAGAAACTCAACTTTATCTATTGAGGTAGAGATTGACTCCTTTTCTTCAGCCTTGGCCCCTCCAGTTTACCCTCCAAACTTAATATCCTGCTGCAAAACTTCAGTACTAAATCATTAAAAGATATATAAAAAGCACACATAAGAGATTCCTCTCCTATTATAATAATAATCACCATCTATTTGTTACTATGTGCATAGAGAGAAAGAAAAATAGAGAAATATACTCCAAACTCTTTGTAGTAATAATCATTTCAGGAGACAGGGAAGGAATTACTGGAAATCTTCAGTTTCCATGCATATATCTCTGTGGTGTGTCAATTGCTCTTCATAATGTGCACATATGACTTATCAAAAGAAAAACAATAAAGGTAGATTTTAAAACAAAATAAAACCCTCCAAGGACTCCCCATTGCCTTTAAGATAAAAGATTAACGATCCATTGCACAACCTACATGGTCCTTGAAAGTATCATATTATCTCTCATCTCTGCTGTTACCTCTGCCAGACATGCTTTCCCATGCCCTTCTCTCTCTTTTTTTTTAAGATTTTATTTATTTATTTGGCAGAGAGAGACACAGCGAGAGAGGGAACACAAGCAGGGGGAGTGGGAGAGGGAGAAGCAGGCTTCCTGCTGAGCAGGGAGCCCGATGCGGGGCTCAATCCCAGGAGCCTGGGACCATGACCTGAGCCGAAGGCAGACGCTTAACAACTGAGCCACCCAGGCACCCCACCCTTTTCTTTTTTAAGAGCCAGTCAAGTATCTCCTCCAAAATGTAATCTCCTTTGACTTGCTCCTGCTCCTGTCTAGGGCAAGTTGAACACTCTGTTTTTCTGTACTGCCACTTTTGAGTTGATTTATTATTATTTAAATGCCTGTCTCCCCAAGTAGATTATAGGCAGAAACTCTGTCTCATTAATCTTATATCCCCAGTGACTGTATTTATAAACATTTGTAGAATTGGTGAATGAATTTCATCAGGAACTAATAGCCTTAGTTAATCATGCTGCTTAATCAGCCACAAAGTGCATATCTAAAATGCTTATTTGTAGGGGTGCCTGGGTGGCTCAGTCGGTTAATATGATTAGACCAAAACCTAAAGGGATGACCAGTAACCTAAAAGAATGCTGACTGGCTGAACCAGATCAGATCTTCTCTAAGTGAGACTTGAACTCAAGATGGAAAGAAATAATTTGACTGAAGCTGGTAAGACAGAGAGAATGGATGACATGAAGCAGTAGAAGGCATGAGTAGGCAGAAGCCATGAAGTAGAGAATATTGAATTATAACGATATCACAGCCCTCAGATTAAGAATAACATGTTTTCTGGTGAGAGGGAAACAAGATAGTACCACCCAGAGTTTGTTGTATGCTGAACAACCTTCCATTCCCAGCTTTGTTTCAAAGTTGGTAAGCCTGACTATGTCATGGTTCCTGTTCTGTGATGTAGAGGAAAGTGGAACTAATCAATTACATTGTATCCCCTGTGGCCTCAGCTAATTATAAAATAACAGAAGAGAGGTGAAGACATAAAGGTAAGAAAATAAGGGGGGAAAACTGTCAGGGTTTCACCAGCACCATCCAAAGAAAAGACTCTACTGACTTTTCTTAGGGGGAAACAAACAAACAAAACACCTCTAGAAAGGATTAGATGGTTGAGCTTTTTTTGGTTGCAAGGAAGGAGAAACCTATGGAAATATGGGTCGTCAAAAAATATCTGACAGCACAGCCAGGCTTCCTGGAAGACCAGGGTCATTCCTTTGAATATCTATCTCCACAGTAGTAAAATGGGAAGAGTAACTATCATTCTGGACTGAACTGTATCCCCCCAAAATTCCTATGTTGAAGCCTCAACCCTAGTGAAGGGGTTTGGAGGTAAGGCCTTTAAGGAGGTCAAGTGTAGGGTCCTCATCTGATAGGGCTGGTGTCCTTCTAAGAGAAAAAGATGCCAGAGCTCTCTCTCCACGTGCAAGTATAAGGAAAGGCCACGTGAGAACACAGAGATAAGGGGGCTATCGGTAAGCCAGGAAGAGAAGCCTCGCCTGTCTGCACCTTGATCTGGGATGTGGAGCCTCCAGAACTGTGAGAAAATAAATTTCTGTTGTTTAAGCTGCCCAGTCTGTGGTGTTCTGTTATGGCAGCCTGAGCGGATTAATACACCACCTAATTGGGTTATGTGTGAGAAAAATTAAATCCGAGAGTATAAATGTATTAACTAGGTACCATGTATTGGGTACCTCCCTGGGCAAGGCATTTCACAGACCTCATTTCTAGTCTTCCGAAACTCATGCTCTTGTACTCCCTCACACTGCCTGGTACATAGTTGGTTTGTTGAATTTCAAATCTGAATATCAAAGTCTTACATCACATTTACAAGCCATGATTATTTTTTATGCATTTTTCCATATATTTTTCTGGCATATTGAGTACAGACAGTGTGCAGTAACCCCTGCTATGGATAATTATGTGCGGAGAAAAGAAAATAAGGCACAGCCTTCCACTTAAAGATTTTATGGTCTAGTTAGAGTAAGACAAGAATATTAATAAGTGACTTGTCTGTGTGACTAATTTTTGGGAAAACAATAACATCGAGTCAAGATTAAACATAAGGACCCAGGGGCCACAAGCTCGGCACTTGAATCCTGGCTCTGTCACTTGCTGTGCGATCACTGTCACATCTCTTATCTCATCTGCAAAAGAGGGTCAGGAGAGTGCCCACCTTAATCAGTTATTGCAAAGATAATATGAGAGACAAGATGGCTCAAATATAGTGTCTAGTGAAGATTTAATAAAAAAAATAAGCTATTACCGTTTGTTTGTTGTTTGCTTCCTCATTCTTACTGGCTTCAGATTCAAAGATCGATTTTTCCAGAAGTTTTTTCTCTAATTCTAAGGCTACCTATGAGGAGCCTCCTGAGAACTGGCTGCACCTACTACATAGGCAGCCATAAAATGGGCAAGGGACACACTGATGCAACATGCAATAGAGTGTAAACTCCTGGAGGAATATGTTTTACACTTTGTCTCCATTAGGTCTAAATACAGTGCTTTATACTGGAGGGAAGCTAACGAACATCTCTTGCTATGAAGAAAAGAATGTAGGATAGAAGTCATGCAGCTCTGCGATGTGACCTGCCAGGATTTGAATCCAACTCTGTCACTTACTCAAAATGAGAACCTCAAGAACCAGTTGATAATGTATCAGAAAAGCTAATTAATTGACCATGGTTACCAGGAAAATAGGGCCTGTTTTCCAAAACATAGTCAAATGTATGAGCCAAAAGAAAAAAGAAAAACAATTTTTTATCATGTATCTTGTTTTCCAGAAATGTTATATTTTAAAATATATCAATATTTGGGGCACCTAGGTGGCTCTGTTGGTTAAGCAACCGACTCTTGATTTCAGCTCAGGTCATAATCTCAGGATCATGAGATCGAGCCCCTGCAATGGGCTCCATGCTCAGCACGGAGTCTGCTTGAGATTCCCTCTCTCCC